CGAACATACCGAAATCAGTTATCTTTTCTATGCCCTACGGGTGTGTTTGGTTCTCTTCATCAAAAAAAAATACCCAAACAACTGCATCTTGCTTACAATCGGTAAATTTCCTTTTATCTATAAAACTTACAAGTTCGGAATAAGTTATCCAGAACTGTAAAGAAAAACAACACTATTAGTATTGATTATGTATATTAAATTATGTATGTATTCTCGCCTTGCTAAGACTATCCTAGTTGAGAAAATCGTAATAGAAAACTGATAGACACAATCATACACGCACACGTCTATTAGTGCATCAATGTGATAGATCGAACATGAAGAGGGACAAGATCAGTTAAGCGAAATTTTGAAATTTACACACGATTCTGTTTACGTTCAACTTGAGATGGAAATAGTTGCGATCACCTTACCACTGGCCACCAAAAATTTTGCATTCAACATATTTCCTCACATTTCAATTTTGATAGGTATTTTTTAAAACTGCTTTATAAGGATTTCGCTAAACAATATAAAATAATACAAATAATACAACAACAAAATAATATTGAATTTCTCTCTAAGATACGATTATCAAGTGTAAACAGAGCTTAATAATGAATCTGGACAGAAGCAATACCATGTTATCTTGTAATTTTTTTTTTTTTTTTTCGATATTTGTAGGGCATTGTAGGGGTTTCTTTATTTTGAACAGTTTAGAGTTTGTCGAATTGGTTGTTGCTTGCATTAGTTGGCTGGTGTTCTACTTATACAATGAGTGGATTTTTTATTTTGATTTTTTGAATGTTTCTCAAAAAAAAAAAAAGAGAAACAAACAAAATCCAGGTGGCCAACAGTATGTAGTAAACAACTACAAGATATTTGCACTGGTCTTGTAAAAATTAACAATTAATTCACACACATAATGAACACAATGCTATGCATTCTAAGTAGTTTACACAAACTTTACTTGAGTTCCCAAGAATTTTCAAGTAATTAAATTATACAAAAAAAAAAATAAATAAATAAATAAAAATAAAAAAAATTATAAATAAATCTGTGCGTGTTTATTATTAACGGAATTAATTGTTTAAATATTTATAAATATATATATATATATATATATATTTATTTATTTTTTTTTTTTAAAAAATAAAAAAAAAAAAAAAAAAAAAAAAAAGTTTTATTAATCTGTCATGTGTCACTTGTTATGACATCGATGCTCATTATTAATTTTGTTAAGTAAAAAAAAAAAAAACAAAAAAAACAAAAAAGAAGGAAAATTTCAAAAAGCAAGCAAAAGCCAGCCATATAGCAGCTGACGTAAAGAGAAAAAAAGCAAAAAAAAATAAAAAATAAAAAAATTAAATTTAAAATACAAAATAGTGGCGTTGACAATTGTCAACATAAATTTGCATTAAATTTGCATTAATCTTTACGTTAGTTTTTCATTTGTAGACAAAAGACTTTTAAAAACACAATCTTTTTAGATGTGTTTACGTTGCTGTTGCCACCACCACCACCACCACCACCACCACCACCATCGCCACCTCTTACACATTTGATGCAACTATTGCTTATGGTCTTTATGACTATAGTTTAACTTTAACTTTGCTGCTATTATACCAAAAATGGTAACAGCACGTTGTGTCAACAAATGTCAAATGCTAATTTTATTTATATATAATTTTATTGAAATGTATATAAAGAAAATGACAAAAAAAAAAAAGAAAAAACAAAACAAAAAAATGCTTAATTGATAAATTTTTCTTTCTTTTTTTTTTTTTCTTTTTTTAATAAGCAAGTGCACGTAATGTTAAAAAATTTTTATTATCACATTTTATTTAAGGGATAAAAGTCAACTCATTTTAATAGGCCCGGATTTAATATCGCCTCGATTTACGCATCAGAATCGCCGACAGTTGTATACATCATTTTCGTTAATACGAAGAATTCTAATTTAAATATAAAAAAATTTCGATCCATTTTCGAGTCGAGAGATCGAGATTAGAATCCTGGCACGACTGTTGACCACCAAGAATTGTGCTATGAGTATAGCATGTGGTTTTTTTTTTATTTATCTGGTGAAAGGAATTTGTGTGAACATGTTGTAGTTGGAAAATTGATGCTTCTGCTTATCAACTTTTTGCCACTTGTTGCGTCCAGCACATAGATCTTGCTTAAAAATTTAATCAGGCGATGAGGGGAAAGAGCAGTAAGCTGGCACATGGAAGAATATCTGAACACGCTTCTAAAGCAATTGTGAAAATTGCGAGAAAGTGCATGAAAGCTCCACGAGAATATTTTTGTGAGCCATTACAATAGATGATAGGGCCAGCTATGGGCCGTTTAAAAAAAGTTCGCTTAATTCAAATCCGTTTTTAATCCGTGCATCTGGTGATAATTGGCATCACTTTCCGTTATGTAAGTTGTAGGATGGATCTAATGAGCCAATGCCTGATAGAAACTTGGATGTGTGGAGAACCTACAAATTAAGGTTCAACAAAATGTTATTTATTATTGTTATTTTTATTTTTAAAGTTTTAAGTATACCTACCTACCTACCTACCTACCTACCTACCTACCTACCTACCTACCTACACACATGATGATGCCCTTGAGAAAAAAAACTTATTTTCATTTTAATTAATTTACTTTACTTTTATTTTTAAGTTTTCTATCGTTTTTTTTTTTTTTTATATGTATTAACATTATTGTCTTGGTTAGCTATAAAAACTTGGAGTAAATTGAAATTTAAATAAATTACAAATAAATCATCGGCTTTAATAAAAGTTAAACTTTTCAAATACACCGCTTGAATTACGGTTTAATCTACAAAGCGGGTGTTAACAAATAAAAAAATATAAAAAAAAAAACAAAAAAAATAAAAACTTTTATAATCTTTTAGTATTTATTCAACAAAGTAAAAGTTAAAACGAAAACAAAAACAAAATAAAACCAGGTATATAAACGAACGATGTACAATCTTTGCCACCATCGCATTAACCTTCATCATCGCAAGGGTCATATTATTATTATTATTAAGTAGAAATGCTGGAGAAACGTAAAGATCATAAAAATTTTGTTTTGAAAAAACAAAAAAAATTCGGAATAAGTGTTTAATTTAAGTTAAGTCGTTCAACCATATTTTTAACTGCTTAAGTGTTTTTCATTTATTCGATTTTATTCTCTTCTCTACGAAAAATAATTCAAGTCCATCTGCAGCAGTAACTTTTTAATTCCGAATTTTCCAAAGAAATAATAAAAATATAAATTTCTTTATAAATATCTCAAAGTCAATCTTTTCTATATAAAAATTCTTATATATAATCGAAATTGGCCAAGTCAACCCAAGTCAACTCAAGTCAAGTGAAAATGAAAATTAAGAAAAAAATTTTTATTCAGTCATAAAGTGAATTTTTCAATGCTCATCCATCATCTAATAAATATAATGCAAATTAGAAATAACTCTTATGCCGATATATTCATCAAGGATGATATATCCTGAGAGAATGAGCGAAATAATTATCTCTCCCTCTATGTTAATATGTATGAAACAAATGCGTATCTTTGAAGAAAATTCAAGTTCAGGATTAATGAATAGAAGCGTAACAAGCTATATATGTAACGAAATACGGATGAAAGGGCATTGAGGGGTAATATCATCCAATTACACCCTCCACTCCTTGTAATGCAAAGATATAATCAGTTGGTGCAGGTGTTCGTAACACCCAAAACGGACTTGATGGATGGACCCACCTTCTAGTATTCCGAGCGATTGTTCTCTTATGTTCAACGTACGCAGCGTACGCTGTTTTTGATAGATTTTGATGAAAGTTGGTACTCAGGCAAGCTTTCAATGAAAATGGTTCAGTTCAAATTAGTCTTACGATTGCCTTCTTTTGAAGAGTCCTTATATGAATAACAATAGGTCAGTGTAGAGCATTTATTAGCCATAGTGTTTTTTATTCACTTCACTTAAGCGAGGATAGCGAGAGATTTTAAATTCGTTTTAGGGATATTTTGAAGTTACTTAATACGTATTTTGGCTTACACAGCAATGCAGCAATTGATGATACGTTAATCGTCATCATTTACTTGAAACACAAGTGTCAAGAAAAGGTTTTCATTTTTTAAGGAATGTTTTGAAACTTGCTAAGTGCTAAGTGATAAACAGCCGCCTAACGAAAGCTTAAGCCGTCTAATAAGCATATTAATCAAGAGTCAACATAGGATACGCTAGCTACTGCATAGACATTCTCGTTATAGTCGCGCCCTGGCTGCTCGACTTGGCAACCAACCTATCACAAAGAATTAACTCGCCTTCTGCACGTTCAATTTCCATCCACGTTTAATAGTACACTTGTGAATGACTGTTGTTTTGCAGCTCAGATAGCTACCAGAACGTGGACATGTTAACCAAGAGATTACTAAGCTAAGATTTAAATACATTTCTCCGTCGATAAGGTTCGCTCTGCAGTTGCGGAAACCCATAGCAAAAAAAAGTGGATAAAGAAAGCACGAATCAATCAACTTTAGCTTGAGCAGTCAGCTAACACACACTACTTTAACGTACTGTATAAAGAACGATTATTGAAATGACTAGAATCGAAGATTCGTCGAAGGGTGAATATAATGGTTTTGTCTGTTTTATTACCTTTAGCATGTGCTTCAGCTTAATCAAAGTCTTCGAAGTGATTGTTACATGGTAGACATGGGACAGCCATAAGATTTAATTATTCGTAAATTCTTTTCAAAAAATGCACAAATACAATAGCAAAGGCGGAGAATCACATTCAGGAAGAATGAGTTGAGTGAAGTAAAAAAATTAATAGATAGCTTTCAAATAGCATGTCTTGAGTAAAGTTAAGGCTACGAACACTTTTCCTTAATTCATTATATTAATTGATTACATAACGTAAGCTAATCGATTTCCTTTTGCATTTTGAATTTTTAATTGATTGGTAAACGGAACTCTTGTAAGATTTATCTAATAAATAGTTTTTGAACTTTCTTTCCAGAATTTCGCTTAAGCATCTCCTGCAAGCATCTAAAGTATGGCTATGAATACTTGAAAGTTGAGAATTGTAAGTCAATAAAAAGATTCCCTTTTATTATTATTAGTATTATTATTATTATTATTATTATTGTTGTTACTGAAATCAAATATATGAAAACTTTTTTTTATCGAAAAACTATGTCAAAAATGTTCATTTAATCTCTGTCACGGTGTGTAACCATATTTAGAGCATTTTTAAACTCCTCATAAATCAACTGAATGTCAACAGTCTGTACAATATTGGTATATAAATATATTTATATGTACATATATATATATAGATATATTTATTTATTTATTTATTTATTTATTTTTTCTATACTTTCTGCTTCTTCTTCATCTTGACTGTGTTGTTTTTTTTTTTTTTTTTTTTGTATTTCGTGCACGTTACAAACTCGTCAACTTTGATCAAGTATCAAATTGATACCACCAAGCCGTGGCCATATAAAAAAAGAGCACATTTTAAAAATGGTTGAATCGCGTAACCAAACCAACAACCAAATACGGCACACTTTGTACGCACTTATGTACGTGCATCTATATAAAGTTGTTAAAGGCAGAGGTATCACTTGAAACACATAAGCAAACAAGTGTATACATGTTGGCATATTCGGTCACTTCTAATCATTAAAATTTAAATAAAACTTTTTCATGACTACAAACATAATACAAACAGTCGGTTAAGGATTCAAAATTAACACTTATGAGATTCGGTTCAAAATCATTTAATTGAAAATGTATTTCGTTTTATTTTCGTTTTTTTTGTTTTTGTTTTTTTTTTTTTTTTTTTTCTTTCTTTTTTAAAAAAAAAGGATTTAAAAATAATAAACAAAAAAAAAAAAAGAAAAAAAGAAAACAAGAGAAGATTCTTTTTTTTTTTTTTTAATTTACTACAGTATAGAAAAGTTTTCCTTCAGGGTTAAGCATTCAGTAGATGACGTTTTAAGTCGCACTTGTTTTTGTTGCAGTGGAAAATACAATAACAAAAAACGTCAAGATCGATCATGTATGCTTGTCTTACCAAGTCAAGTCAATGCGTTTATTTCATTTTTTTTTTTTTTATTATTGTATATATATATATATATGTATGTCTGCCTATATATGTTATTTTTTTTGTATGTAACTTACAATGATGTGTTTTTGTAGTCATCATACTTTGTCTTTATTTTTTGTTTTTTGTATGTATATATGACGGCTATACGCACTTTGGCTAATGTACATATATATATATATATATATATTTATGCACATATATATATATATATATATATAAATATATTTATATGCGTATGTATGTGAATATATGTATGAATGTATACGTGAGTCAAGAGCAATCAAGTTTGTAGCTTAAATCTTTTGTATGTATATATATATATATATATATATATTTATGTATGTTTGTTTAAATAGTTGTATGAATGTGATGTTATTTCGAAATGCATGGGAGGCGCAGGAGTTTTATGTCGTCTATAAATGGTAAAAAATTGTTTAAAGTAGAGAGATACAATAATAACAAAAACAATAACAACAACAATAACAACAATAACAGAGACAATAATAACAATAACAGCAGCCGCATTTCTATGCGATAATCGACCTTCTATTTACTATATCGCATGTAACCGCTAAGGAATTGCATTAATGCAATGCAATGCTTTGTTTTTTTTGTTTTTGTTTTTTTTTTTTTTTTGCATTTGACATTTGTAGACATTGAGCTCTAAAGTCAGGTGATTTTTTGTTTTCGTCCAGTGAGCGAACGTGTGTGTGTGTGTGTATGTATGTGTTTGTTTGTATGCGCTTTCGAATATAATGAAATCACTTTAACATATATGAACCTATCTACAGATGACTTTTATATAAAGCTTAACTTATATTCTTATAGGGTTTTTGTTTTTCTTATAATAATAAAAAATTTTCAAGTTAAACAGCAATGAACCGCGTCCACGTAATGCGTTTGATACTGCAGTCATCTAAAAACTGTTATAAAGCTGCCATTGAATTATTGAACATTTTCGACAGATTGCCACTTTTGTCATATATGTCGCGCATATATGTGCATATATGTATATGTGCTTATGTGTACGTTAAAATCAATAAAATTGCCAAAAATTGTTTAAAATTTATTTTCGCTAAGATTTATTTACAATTTGATTGAATCGCTTGTACAACTACTCTCGACTATTAAATAAAATTGTACATACCTACACACACACGCGCAATGACCTCTTTCTACGCATTCAACGTAGATTTAATAATTTTAGACATTTTGAAAGATTTGATTAATACAAGAATGAAAATAAATATATGAAAAAGATTTCAAAGCAGAAAGAAGTGTGTATGAGAAAAGGAACAACAGCAGCAACAATAACTTTTTCTTCTATCACATGATTTTTGTTTACTTTTATTCTTTTTTTTTTGTACGTTTTTTTTATCAAAGCTTTCCTCAATAATGTAATTTTTTTTTCTTTTTTTTTTTTTAATAATTTAAAAATAAAACAATTCGATTTTTTTATTTTAAAAGAAATGTGTGAAGGCAAAATATATATTAATATAATAAATAATTTCCCTTTAATGAATAAATCTTTGAAGAATCGCAAAAAAAAAAAAAAAAAAAAAAAAAAAACCTTTTTTTTTAATAATATTTATTCAATGATACTGGTACGCCTGACTACAGGTCGGCATTTGATAAAACTATTGAAATATTCTTCCTTCCGGCCTTAAGCAGATCATGACTTGGTTTGAGTTTAATCAAAATATCAAATATCTTCATCTTAGTATAATTTTTATTACTTTCAATAAGGACAAGCGGAAAGAAACGAAAGAAGGAACGAAAACATAAATAGATGCATGACGAGAAGACATACGAAAAGGCTATACGGATACGAACGATTAAAGTGATGGGTAGAGAGATAGACAACTGACTGAGTGATTAGAAGGCTGGAGAGGCAGAAGATGATGTTGAGTGGATGAAAGTGGATGGCCTGGAGAACGTATAAAGAGGAGAGTGAATAAAGCTGGGGACAGGCCTAAAGCCAAAGGAAAACTTTACAAGAAGACTAGCATGTCTAGACCATCTTACTGGCTGATAAACACAATATGTATATAGTTAGGAGGGTATACATCAGGTATACATGCTGTAGATCGTAAAGTCTCATAAATGTTCATATCGTCGCATACTTTGGTAATCTGTATAAAAAATTCTCCACCAAAATCGACTTAAAGAGCTTGATAATCTGCTTGATAAGCGATTTTATTTACATTTGTGCTAAACGAAATTGAAAATTTTTACATTGCTCTCATATATGGCTTAGTTGTGAAGGTCGCTGCACATGCGAAATAATGTAATTGGTAATGCCCTGCCCTGCCCTGTCCTGCTTTCGACTTGGACTATCAAAGAATCTCAAATTTAAGCAATTATCAATTATCTCAATAGTAAATCCATTTAGATGCTTGATCAGAAATTGTGCTTTAATCTGACTGAATTCGACTGTTGATTCAGTTTCTAGGCTTAGGATAATGATAATGAAAAAGGCGTACGTGAACAACAAAATTGTTTTGTTCACAGGGATGAACGTGATGATCGTAAATGATGACCGTAAGTGACTGCAAACGTATTTAGGTTTAAAAGATTGCAAACAATTTTCAAGCATACAATGAATAGATGATAGAACCACTGGCACAAGTTTTGCATTTGTAATCTTAAGAGAAACGGATGAACGGATTTTATATGTTGTGCTCTTGCATTCGCATTTCTCGCATTATAATAATACCGATAACGATATCGATGCCATATCATTGTCGTCGCTGAGCATTAAAAGATTTGGGAAAATTTATGTTAGAATAACTTGTGTTCAACTTTTTTTTATAGTCGCTATTTAATTCAATAATTAATAAACTTTAATCTTTTAACCAATTAATAATTTTCATGTAATTAAATGGCAACAAAATAGATAAGTTTTGAGTTCTGAACTTGAAACTTTGCCTGTTTTCTCAATGCAATTATAAAGCAACTGCAACTACGTTAATAATAAACGATATTTATTCATTTTGTGATCTTAAGCGAAAATCAAAGAAGTTAAACGAGTTCTTGGTGAACTATGAAACGAAAATTTAACAACAAAAATTAACTAAAAAAAAAAAAAAAAAATTATATGTCTAATCCATATCAGACAAGAAACTCCAACACGTTCCTGCAACATTGTAATTAATATTTAATTAATAGATACCGCCAGAGTCAAAGTCAAAGTATTAAACACGGTCAACGCTTATACTTTGTTTTTTCTTCTTTTTTTTTTTTTTTTTTCTTTATTTTTATTATTAATTAAATTAATTTTAATAACAATGTTTGTGCAAAGTTTATGAAATCTATTAATTTTCACTTTCGCACTTTGATGAGGTGAGGCGGGCAATTTTCGGAAAGGCGCGCGCGCACACACACGCACACAGATAGACAGACAGACAGACACAGATACGCGCATGGGTCTACGCTTGCATATGCGTATGTATATGTTTAAAAAACTGCACTCATATGTAATTTGTGTTTTTTAGTTTTTTTTTTTTTTTTTTTTTTGTTCCTTGCTGGCGAGCTTACTAATAACTAATAACTGCCTACTGCAGTAGTAAATTTATGCATGAAATAACTGATAGTACACCGACACACGCTCATACTATACTTTTAGATATTTAAAGATGGAATATGTATGCAATAAATACCCAACGAAGAACAATTACTTAATGTGTTATTAATTAATGTGTTAACTATGTAATTAATAATGTAAAGCGATTGCATTATTAATTTTCCATTTAATTTTTTCTTCATATAGATGAAGAGATTCGAATCAATCAAATTTAACCTTCACCTACCCCTATGTACCAATATTGTTAATCAGAACGACCATTTTCTACATTCACTTATGCCTGCCTAGCCTTATGTCCTGCCTAGCGTATATCGGTGAGTAAGGTCGGGTGCATCATCATCATTGCGTCCATCCGTTCGTACTTATGCAAGACGGTTCAAAATAGTTATAT